CCCTGGTGGACACTAGAGAGAATGCAGCTTTAACACATGAAGCTTTGGCTTCACTCTTCAGAAATGGAGGTTTCCACCTGGTACCATGGAACCCATTTTCGTTTCGATATCATGACATGGTTGGTACTCATGGATGCCTTCGGCCATCTAGTTTATATGATATCAGTATCTTCACTTAAACTTAAAAACCTCCTACAGCCTCTGAAAGACAGGAAAGGACGCCGTCGTCCAACGAATGAATCTGAATCTGGTTTGTAGTCTGAATCGGTTAAAATAAGAGATTACATCAAATGTCTTCTTTCCTCCTGTTTTTAGGAAAAGAACACAAGCACTCAAGTTCAAGATGAGTTTCTAGAGCTGTTGCTGTGGGGACAGTCGAGGTGAGAAAAGAGGCCGTTTGTAAGTAGTTATCATGTTGTAATGCTTGGACTGTCCTGCAGGTGGCGGCAAAACAATATGTTTGTCTGGTTAATCTGCTCTTTTGATTGGAGGTATGATTGTAACTTTTCTCACCTCTGGCTCTCTGCTTTCATGTAGCCCTGAGCTACAGGCTCTCCTCATGAACCAGCTGACCGTCAAGGTGAGAGAGTAAGAGGTGTAAATGCTCCTCTCAAGTGTTCCTACTTCCTTCGATCTGCGGTCCAGATCAGATTTGAAGGTTTGTGTGTATTCTGTTTTCATCACAGGGCCTGAAGAAGCTCGGCCAGTCCATCGAGTCGTCTTACTCCAGCATCCAGAAGCTGGTGATCAGCCACCTGCAGAGGTATGTTCTCATCCTTTCACTTCTCCTCAGAGCTGCCGGTTACCTGAGATGTCTCTGTTCAAACGTCTCCCTTCCCTTTGCTCGCTGCAGCGGCTCTGAGGCTCTGCTGTACCACCTGAGTGAGGTGAAAGGCATGTCTCTGTGGAAGCAGAAGTTCGAGCCCCTCGGTCTGGATTCAGCAGCTATAGAAGGTACCGCGTCCCCCAACCTGCACGAAAAACCAGCTTTCTAATCATCAGCAGCCACATGATGTGTGTTTGATGTTCTCAGGTGCGATCACCGCCGTGGGCTCGTTTTCTCTGAAAGCCAACGAGCTTCTGCAGTGAGTTCAATTAACCTTTTTTAATTAACTTCTCTCTTGTACAAATTTCAATCTGACTTGTTTCTGTTTGTTGGGAAGTAATCTGGTCACAAACTATTTGGTCAAATAATCTCACTATTGTTTGACAATGTTTAGATACGGGAGAGCTCACCAGATCATTGGTTACAATGATGTGTGTTAGAAGACTTTTCTTATTATTTACATGTTGCAAAGAATGCAAGTCTATCGAGAAAGCTTAAGAAAGGTGATGACTTTGCACATTTATATTTGTGTATATGAAATTCAACAAGCAGGATCAAGAGGTTTATCATTGCTTTATAAATAAACAATAACATCTTTATGACTCATCTTAATAGAGTGACCAGCGTTCCTCAATGTTTATCTTTCTTTATCCGTCTAAAATTGAATATAATGTGACCAGCTGTTAAGCAAATGTGTCGGTGTTTCAGGTTCACTGTGTTTTATTTTGTGTATATACGTGTGTGTGTGTGTGTGTGTGTATATCTATCTATCTATCTGCTGCTTTCCACACGTCACTGCAGAGAATCACTGCTGTTTATTTTGTGGTTTAGGGTGATCGACAAGAGTATGAAAAACTTTAAAGCCTTTTTCCGCTGGTTGTATGTCGGTAAGAATGAATACAACTCGTGCATGAGTTTGACTCGTTGATATCGAGACATTTAATTTAGTGTTTGTCGGTTTATTCTTGTTTTTATTCTCAGACGTTTGTTTTGTTTTTTCACAGCCATGCTCAGAATGTGTGAGGAGCATGTTCCACCAGAACTCAACAAGGTGAGCCATCAAAGGTTCTGATTGTTTAATGACTGACGGATGAATCATTCTAACGTGCTGCTTGATCCTTCAGATGACTCAGAAGGACATCGCCTTTGTCGCTGACTTCCTGTCGGAGCACTTCAGCGAGGTGAGATCAGTGTAATGTCGCTCTGCTGATCATTAAATCCATTTATTCTGGCTTTTTACAAAATGCGTTAAATATCTCTCTGTTTTCACAGAATGAAGAACTCTTTGACCGTAAAGGGAAATACTTCAACGTGGAACGAGTTGGTCAGGTGAGAGGTCTTCTGTCGCATCGCCTCGAGTTTGTTTTAGACGGAGCCGGCGACTTTACAACATCCGGGTTTCTCTCCTCTGCAGTACCTGAAGGACGAGGACGAGGACCTGGTGTCTCCTCCCAACACCAAGGGGAACCAGTGGCTCACGTTTTTGCAGGAGAGCACGCACCTGAAGGGTGAACATCATCTGGATGATTAGTAGCTTTGTAACTCATTTTAGAGTGATGGAATGACGATGAATAATTAGTTCGGCGATGATTTACTGGTTTTACTGATTTTACACAAATATAAACTTCACCCTGAAATGACCATCTGTACATCAGTTACTCTCCACGTGTCACTTTGAAAACACAGTTTTTCTCTCGTGCTTCCACGGGGACCAAAGACTCAAAACAGAGGTATTGATTTAATGATATTAATGCCATAACTAACGGACTAAAATGTTTGACTGGTTTATCTAGAGAGCCCTTTGCTGTTCCCTTCATTTCCCCAAAAGTCTTTGCACTTCGTGAAGAGGATGATGGAGAACGTGATCGAGCAGTGTCTCCAGAAACCTGCAGTGAGTTTTGTGTTCTGTCCTTCCTGTTTTGCAGCAGAACTATTAAAACATTTAATTATAAATGAGATGGGACTTAGGACAGCTTGTTATGGCCATTGTAGGTTAAAAACCCGGGGATGGTGGTAATATATTCTCAGACAAAACTCGAGAGTTTGAGATTAAAATAGTAGATTTACAAGAAAAAAACTTTATTATTCTCTGAGATTATAAAATCATGAATTTGTGGGAAAAAATATAAAAACTCTCTTAGATGTGGGAAATTGACACTTATTTTGTCAAGTCTGGATTTAAAACACTTTGAAATATTGATTTGAGATAATAAGAATAATAACTTTACTGCCCGTTCTGTGTGTAGACTGAAAGGCTTCCTGCAGCCTTTTAAACACACTTTACCCAAAATACAGAGTGATACAAGCAGAGGTGTGTTGATAGCACTTCTGTCTTCAATGAGAGATAACTGAACATGCTTTAAACAGAAAGTTCAGATGTCTTTGATGTGATTCGTTCCACTTTCTTTTTGTTTTGTTGTTTTTTTTATTGTTTGTAATTTTTCTGCAGGAAGTAATTGGGAAGTCTGTAAAACAGGCCGTGTTTTTGCCCCTGTACATCGTACCAGAGAGGTATGTCTCTGTTAATATGTATTATTTCAAATGTGACTAAATGAATGTGATTAACTCATTTGTTTCTTCATCTTTCCAGCTCTGAAAACACTCCACGACTTTTTGAACTCCCATCTTTGTACGTACAAACACAAACATCCTGGTGTTTCCTGATGCTCTTGAGCAGTAAGATGTTTTTATTATTATTATTTCTATATGAATGATATGTTTGGCTGGATTTCTACAGGTGGAACGACAAGAAAGCCAAAATGCACCATGTTGTGTTCTGCATGCCGGAGATTTCGCCCTGCAAGCTCTACCTGTTACGGAGAGGAACCGACCCGAACAGGTGCGTCTGTGTGATTGTGGGAGTTTCTTTGTGTATTTAATCTGTGTTTTTAACAACGTTTGTTTTGTTTTGCACAGACATATCTCCAACAGTGTGATGTCCATTCACCTCAGACACCATCTTGACAACGCAGATGAAGATAACGCTGCAGCCCAGTCAGTGCCTCTCACGTCACTCCTACCCATCATTTATAAAATAAATGCGAAGTACTTCCTCGGCTCCTGGAGGTGATACTTCCATGACTTCCCATGATTTTGTCTCTTTTTAGGACTAGCTACCTTCACAGCTGCCTGGATGCCCGTTTCTATGATGATGAGATGCTGACTGTGGTCTTGCAAGGATCAGAAGAGGACAACAGAAGGCGTGTGCTCGCTCAGCTTCCTCTGGCTTCAGCGCTGAGCTGTGAGACGGAGTTCAACTGGGAGCCGAACCTGAGGTGAGTCAGGATCAGTGAGTGAGTGGATGAAATGTGTTTTTAAAAATGTCGTTCTATTATTTAGTTTGGGTCATCCTCTAAGGACGGCAGAGATGAGGCATGAGATGCTGCATGATGTCACTCGTGTTTTCAGGTTGGACCAGCAGAGCAGCGCCATCCCGAGTCACGGCCTGGTTTTGGGGAATCAGTGGCGTGAACTGGAAAACATGAAGGCTCAGTTTGTAGCTGTCAATGGGATCCGGAAAGTGGCCTGTGTGGTAAGTTAACATTATATTCTCTTTATATTTTTACCAGACGGCAACTGCTGAGTGAAGCCAAAGCTTCACGTCTTAAACCTGCATTCTCTCTAGTGACCACCAGGGGGCGACTCCTCTGGTTGTATAGAAGTCTATGAGAAAATGACTCTACTTCTCTCTTGATTTATTACCTCAGTAAACATTGTAAACATGAGTTTATGGTCTCAATCTCTAGTTTCAAGTCTTCTTCAATACAGCATGATGTTCATTTAGTACATTATGGTCCATTTAGAGTCACACAGACCATAAAGCAGCCATCTGTCTGTAGATGTTTTGAATGTTAAAGAATGTCTTTGGATGTCTTATAATTCTCCTATTTGGTCTTTGTTTTTATTTTAAATTGTTTATTTGTTTTGGCCTGTCTTGGCTCAATAAGCCTTCCTGGTTATTAATTAAAGGCTTTTATTTAGTGTGTGGGGACATTGTTGAGTGAACTGTGCTGTAATATTCCTCTATTTGTTCCAGGCATCAGTAAGATCAGCTGATCCATTGATTCCTGTGAATGAACGTCGTCTCTGAACATTAACGTTTTCCTTTCCTGGCAGCTAAGTGCCAATCTCAGGCACATCCGTGTCTTTGAGATGGACGTAGAGGACGAAGACGACGAGGGAGCCGAGTCTCAGAACGCCAGCGCCGACCAGGACGGACTGGACGCCACGATGACCAGCGAGGGGCCGGAGGAGGAGAGCGTGGAGGCTAAAGGTGGAGAGAGAGGAGGCGACGCCTTTAGGAAAACTGAGGAGCAACTGGAGTCAGAGGAAGCTCTTTAACTCCGTTAAAAGACTGAGACACAGAAACGAGATACGTACATGTAAATGTGACATTTGTTTTTGTATCTGACAATAAACACAAATCAACAGGTTTGTGTTCATATTTGTTGAAGCTGTTGATGATGTTTTCGGGTTGTTCGTCCGTACGCGATATTTCAGGAACGCCTGGAGGATTTTATTCCAATTTAGCGCATGAATCCACAAGGATTCAAAGAGGAACTGATTAGTTTGTCACTGTGACCTCACAAAACACACTTTTTGGACATAACTGAAGAATTGATATGCTACACATAACAGGAAAAAATTATGACTTTTTGGACAGACATGAATGTAAACTTCAACTGGACTGGTTGGCGGAGGAATACAACCTTGAGGAGTAATTCTAGTTTTGTAGTAATGTACATTTTAATTAATTTATCTTTTTTTTTTGTCATTGCTATTCACTTTATACTTTCCTGTAGGGATTAATAGGAAAAGCACTGTATTCCTGTTGGTCAAAGTAGTTCTCAATTTACAGATTTGACCAGTGATAATACGCAATAGAATGTATTTATATTTAATAATTAGTAATAATGAATAGCCTAATAATATCAAGTGCTACAGAAGGATCCCCCTGCAAGAAATAAATACATTCTAGAATTTAATTTTAGCTCTTTTTAATATTAGTTTTATCAGCAACTGAAGTATTCCTGCTGTAGGTTAATCAGTAAATTGAAATATAATTAAATAAATAGTTGAGCAAATTAATTTAGCTGCCCAAATGCTTGTTTAATTTATCTCATTTCTTATTAATTAATGTACAAATACACGACCTTTCCGTAACAAAAATAATAAGATATATAACTTTATAATATAATAACTTTCTTTATTTCAGTTCATGTTTAAAAATGTGCTACAAAAATAAACATGACGTGAACTTTTCCCCTCTGTCGTCCGTGCGCGAGCAAATAGGTGTTGGTTACGTGCTCGCTCCCGCTCACCGAGCGCGGTGACGCGCGCGCTAGCCGCCGCCTGTTGGTCTTTCACTCACACATACACAGTTGTGTGACGACTATTATGAAAAAATGGCCTCGACTTCTTTCCGTAGCCACGACTAACCGGTAGAAGATGACGGTGTTGAGATTTCTAAGTCAGTTGAACACCAAAGCGTCGTCTTTGAACACGTAATAGACAACAGCGAGAAGTTAACCGGGAAAACAAAGAACACTTTACGGCAGAGAAACGACAAGAAGAAAAAAACACCCACAAACCACCGCGTATTTTTAGTATTCTCTTTTTTTTTTTCCTCCGTAGCGCTGGCTCTCTGGAGGAGCCGCTATGGAGGATATCAACTCAAACATCAACGCGGACTTGGAGGTGCGGAAGCTCCAGGACTTGGTGAAGAAGCTCGAGCAGCAGAACGAGCAGCTCCGGAGCCGGTCCACCACGATGATGTCGTCCTCGTCCGGGACCAACCACCACCACAGCAGCACCAGACCGCTCAGCGACGGTTACCAACCATCGTTCGTCGGCACGTGCGGCTACGGCGACCTGCTGGAGAACAGCCGCTGTCTGAGCTCCAGACTCTCCTACGACGGAGGAGTCAGCTTCAGGAGGCCGTACGAGTACGAGGGAGCGACGGCCGCAACCACCTCCGCCTCCTCCGTGTCACTTTTCTCGGACGGCATCGGGGGTTTTACGGACGAGGCGGAGACGTCGATCCTGGACGAAGTGGACATCTTAGATCTCGAGGACATGGATTGTCTAAACGAGGACGAGGACAGCTGGTGAGTGACAACAGTCTTTTTAGGGAGGTGGTGATGATGACAGCTATAAAATAAGATAATCCTTTATTAAATGTACAGGATTACAGCAGCATAGCATAATGCAAACAAGAGACAGTAAAAAAACAAGATCAAAACAATTAAAAATAAGTAATAAAACGGTAAAGTATATTAAATAAGTAAAAAATCCACAATAACTAAAATATTATATATACAGACAGAGTAATTGTTGTGTTGCAGTGTATTTATATTGTTCAGATTGTTTGTGTTGTGTTGTCATAACACAAATGTGACAGCTGCTCTAAAACATTTTAGCTACCACAACACAAAAAACAAAACATCCTCATCTTCCCTGTGCTCTAAAATATGAAGTCCTATGAATGCACTGGAGGAGTCTCTCATTGTGGATCTCTCACTGAAAAAGGGTGTTGTTTGGCAAGTCACGTGGGTGTTGCCAAGCCCCATTCTCGGACTGTGTGATCATAATAGCAGTAGCTTCGTCATACATTCAGAGTCATGACCTCATACCTTCCATGCAGTTTTTTTAGTAAGGCCCTCTCTCAGCTGTCTGGACCCCGAAAGCCCTCCATCATCTGTTGCAACCGTTTTGTTGTTGAGTGTGTGTCTGTGTGTATGTATGTCTGTGTGTGTGTGCAGCAGCCATGGTTATATAGTCCTCTGAATTTCCCCTTTAGCACACCATTTGGCATCCCTCCACCAGAGCTCTGCAGCACCTAAAGGAGATGATGTGTCACAAAAACAAAAAGCTGCTCACAGCGTTGTGTTTACAAACAGTGACTTTTAAAAACATGGAAGAGGAGCCGTGTTGGACTGTTGGTATCATCCAGTACTCCTGGTTCTTAATCCTCTACCCAACTCATCGTGTCCATAAAAGCACCCCCCCCCCTCTAAAGCGATGAGCATTCATGGTATTTACATAGATACTCTCTCTAGAAGTGTAATCCTTAAAACTCCAGAGTATGATTGGATTTGTGCTGCTGTCTAAATCTCGTTGCCTGGCTGGTTACATCAGCTTTTGGTTGCTTAAACAGAAAAAAAATATGGTTTAATATCTCTTTGTCATGTTTTGAGTAAGCCCGCTTAAAGAGACAGTTCAATCAAAAATACACATTTGTCCTCTTACCTGTAGATCTGTCTATCAATATAGATTGTTTTGTTCATGAGTTGCCTCTATTGGAGATATCGGCCGTATAGATGTTAGCCTTTACTCCGCTATAATGTCAAGATGTGTGTAATAATGAAGATGTGACATGTTTACATGTCGTAAATGCTAATTTTTATATTTTTAAAAGTTGCCACTGATGGCAACCAAAGGCCAAGACTTGGTTGCTAGTTGCAACTTGGCAACCCGTACTGTTGAGACGTCATCATTACCCGGCTGATGGCCGACATGTAGACTTGGTAGAGAGGTTTTACACACAGACTGTTTATAAGAAGTGGACGTAGTCATCGTGACGGCACTCATTGGTTTGTGGACCGATGTTTTGAAGCCTCGAGTTCGGCAATTTGGCCGTTGCCATCTTAGCTTTTTGCCACCAGTGAACAGGAAGTGACATAGAGACGCCGTATACATCTCTGGTAGACCTGTCAATCACTGTGTAGCCCCGCCCTAAAGCATCCCCTGCTTTATGGCCTGTGTGACTCTAAATGGACCATAATGTACTAAATGAACATCATGCTGCATTGAAGAAGACTTGAAACTAGAGATTGAGACCATAAACTCATGTTTACAATGTTTACTGAGGTAATAAATCAAGAGAGAAGTAGAGTCATTTTCTCATAGACTTCTATACAACCAGAGGAGTCGCCCCCTGGTGGACACTAGAGAGAATGCAGCTTTAACACATGAAGCATCGACTTCACTCGCCTGGTTTTACAGAAATGTTGTTGAGGTAGAAAAGCTATTTTTAATGCTTCAGATACTGACTACATGTGACAGTAATGATGGCCGTCCTCAGAAGAGGATCCCTGATGTCCATCTTGTTGGGACGGGTTTGTTCTATTGGCGTCTTCTATTATAATGACACTATAATAAGCAACATTAGGGCGTAACATGAGGACGGCTACTAAAGCTCTTCCAAAGGTAGATCATATTTGGTTGAAAGCCAGCTGACTGCAGTGAAAGAGCTTCTGGCAGTCAGCACTTAGCATCTGTGTCCACGTCCTAGATGTCTCTAAAATAATGAGCTTATATCAACAAAGAGGAACGAACAGTGAAAACAGACCCACTGGAATGTGACATGTATGGTATAAATGGATGGAAGTAAAAAGAGGTTTAGACGATTTGTTCTACTTCATTAGAGCAAACCGAGTTGCTCGACATCAGACTACGTTCATACATTGCTCGCTCATGCCCAACAGAGCCACTCTCGTTATGCCCACGCTCCTTCTTCTGCTCTTTAGGATCAGATGTGATGTCTGGGATTACCCAGTAGTAGCTCCTCTGACAGGATTTAAAACATGCTTCCTGCCTCTTGACTATCAATAGATGCTTGCCACACTCCCGTTGCCGCATGTGGACATGACACACGAGCTCGGGGAGTTCATGAAAGTGTTGATAGACCTTGAATAGGTGCAGACCCATGTTTCATTCTTGCATTTCCTCTGCACTCGCCCTCCTTTTGCCTGTAATGTTGCTTCCTTTATGGCTGCAACAGAGCTGACAGCTGCTGACTCACATTTCTCTCCTGAGTGGAAATTCCTCTGTTGTCTCCTCAACGCTTCAGGATGAACTCAGGTTACTTGTGTTGCCGACAAACAGGAAGTAGTGAATTCAGTCGGTTTGTCGCCTTATTTTTAAACCTTTTATGTGTGTCTATCAGTATCAAGAGGGGCTCATAGTTTCAATCAATACAGCTGACTACGCACTTAACTCATTGGCTTTTTTCAAAGTGACGCTGGTTTATTCTCATAGTTTGCTGCAGCAGAAGCTAACGGTTGCATTGCTTCCTCTTTGCTAATGGTTTGTGCTAAATTAGCTGCAACTGTAAGAGTCGAGTCTAAAAGATATCTGCAAGCCACCGCCAAGTTTTCAACCGGTAGATGAGCTTTGTCACCACTTGATTTGACAGCTGTTAACGTTAGAGCAATAAGAAACAAGGTGTACGGGTATTAAAACACAAAAATGTCCGTTTCTGTCTTTGTTATGATAGTGTGTGTCCGGAATATAAAGTTCAGGTATCGACAGACGGCCAAAACAAGCTTCTCCTCCATTTACCACACTGACATCACCAGTGCTTTCCTGAAAAGTTCAGAGATTTTCAGAATCAGATTTATTGGCCATGTATGTGAACGCATACATGGAATTTGACTGGTTTACACGTTGCTCTCAACGTACATACATAGAATATACAAATAAACAAGAAAATATAAAAAATAAAAACAAGGCCAACAAAGTAGAACAGAGGTAAGCATAAACATTTAACTACGATGTACAATATAAATATATATCCAAAAGTATAATTTCAAATAGAAGCGCTCTGAGCGGCCGCACAAAAAGAGGCGGAGCGTTCAGAAAACTAGACGCTGGGGGCAGCGACCTTTTCTCTCGGCGGTTGCATACGCTCTGTCCTCATTGGGAACAATTAAATAAAGGCGCTATGTGGACACAAGCTCTTATCTTTCATTGCAGCCTTCTGTGATTCAACAAACACTCTCAATCTCCTCTGACAGCCGTCTGTGAGTCGGTCACCGTCAGAGAGAGACAACACTTTACGTAATGATGCTCGCTATGTATTGCTTTTATGAACATGCAATATAATGTGTCAACTGTGTGTCTCCCGGTCATGTCTCCCCCCCCCACCCCCCAGGCTATACGAGGCGAAGCTGGACAGTCCCATGCAGAAAGCCCTGAGTCCTATCGTGTGGTGCCGCCAAGCTCTGGACAACCCCAGTCCAGAGATGGAGTCAGCCAAGCGCTCCCTCATCCACAGACTGGACCTTACCATGTCAGGTAAACCACCACTGCCACAGAGCGTGAGACATGGCGTCTCAACTCAGCAGCAGGAGGAACAGCATCAGTAATACACTCTGCTAGACTATAAGCTCGTGGGGAGGTCATGCGTACAGTTGTGTGTCTGTCTGTCTGTCCACGGCTAATCTTGCAGACTGCTGGACCCTTCAGTCTAATATTTTCTGTGCTCATTTATGACCGTATACCCAAGGACCTCTCATAGGTTTAGGGTTTGAAAAACGTATTTTATTGACAGTTTTATGCCTTTGCTTTGTTTATACTCGTCGTAGCCTCGGCAGATGGCGAGCACAAGCTATGAGAACGCACAAAGGAGTTAATGCATTATTCTCCAAAATGCCAGAGAACGTTCAGACACAATGTACTGTCAAGAATCAACAACACAACGAGTGTCACCGGCAAAACGTCATAAAACCACCTCCACAATGCTGAGGAGGGATTGTAATAACTTGAAACTTATATCTCATATTCAGGGACTACTTTATTGCCTTTATACAAACCCTGTAAAGAAAGAAGTCAAGTATGAAATACAATATTAAGAAAAAAAAGGTTGAAAATGATTTGATTTTGCAGCAAAAGATTTAACTAAATGTAACACGTGCGGTTCCTAAAGCATCTAGAAACACATTGGTCGTCTTTGTAAAATCCTTTGACATGTTAGTGGTGCTTTTATCAGTGAACTATTTGTGACTTTCATGTCTGAAGAGCGGCGAGTATAAACTAAGCTTCACTCCTCTTAACCGGCCGTTAGGGGCCACAAGTGATCAACAACTGCTTCAGGAGCAAAAAGGCATTACCGGCTATCGGCTGGACTCAAGATCTGACATTGACAAAAAGGTTTTGTCTCATTTTGAACCAGAACATCTGCAGATTAATTCCACAGTCGATGTGTTAAGATCCACTAAAGTTAGAGGCGTTACGAGATGAATAAATCCCCGTTTTTTGGGTTATCTTCGTCATCTTGACGGTTGTTTTGTAGAAAGTCTCCATACATACGTCCGTCTCTGTGTGGTTGGTCTTCTTGCTGTCAGTTTGCATGTCGATCCATTTTAATAATTGCATAACGTGAGTCGTTGGAGCTCTTTATCTGAATCATAAAAGCAGTTCTAGCTCACTACAACAAAGAAAGCACAGACGGACGTATCGTTCATTAAAGGCGTTTCCTTGTGTGGGTAAGATGAACAGCGTTGTACCCGTTTGGGCAATCATTGAATGCTGGAGGATGTAGTTTTATGACCTGGCAGGTGCAGATAAGGTGACGTCATTTGAGAATCAAATCAGCAGCACATTGACTTGGGGATTAATTGCCAGTTGAGGTTATAGATGTAGTACCTGAGTGTGTAGAGGGTTAGTGAGAATACACGTGTGTGTTCTGAGAGTCTCTTCTTGGGATTGAAAGTGTGGAAAATGATTGTCAGACATTTAAAGCTACAGTCTGCACAGTAAACTGTGTTTGGAGAGCTGGTGGTGTAGAGGGGGTTCAGTTCTCCTCTTCTTGTTCCTCCTTTGGCAGCCAAGTGTGTGAAAAATAATGTTTCATTCATACTTCACCGATGGGGAATGCAGAATATTTATCGTTTTGTCCCATACGATCTCACGAGGTGCTTGGAGCATGTTCGGTATTTATTTATTTAGAGATGTTAAAGAGACAGTACTGATGTTCTGTAGTGTGTGTGTGTGAGGTTCTCCTCCACAGTCAGGGTTCTACTACAGTAGATGAGTTGATAGAACCAGCACGGGAGCAAAGTGATGTTCTGCTGTGGACGTATGTTAGACTCCTAACAGAATGTCTCTCAGTTGAAGTGAAGCTATATTCAGAATGTCTTCAGCTCTTTACCTTGCTGTCAGACAGACCTTTCTGAGGGGAACTCAAGCTGTTATCTATGATCTCTACAAACACACCAGACTCCATTCACTCAAACACTGATTCTACCTCTCAGGACACAGGAGCTGCTGCCTCCATCTGTTGCTGAGGTTGTGTTGTTGAAACTTTAGTGTTTTTTTTAAGGTTTATTCGGATTCAACTCTTTGGATTAATTGTTACTGACTATGTAGAAGAACCTCATACAACCCATTTTAAATCAGAACCATCCTTTTACATTGGTCCATGTTTATTGATCCTATAAAGCACCAGAGTGGATGTGCACTAGTGGAATAAAATAACATCTGGAGCCCTCAGTGTGTCGTAGTGCTGCTCTTCACGTTTAAAATCTAAGGCAAACTGGATTTTTTTATTATTTTTCCTTCTTCTTTACACTCTAAACTGATTATTGAAAGTTGTTTGTAATTGTATAAAATGGCACCAACACAAACCATTATTATAGTGATTTAATCTACAGCACATCACCCAGCTTCATGTTTAGTCCTCTCTGCTCCTCTCCGTGTGTTTTCTGATCTTCTGACGGACACTAATTATAGTCGGCCCCTCAAACCCTCAGCTAAACTGAGAGGGGGGGTCATTTCCATTTTGACAGCGGTATGTCCATGTGACCGTTGGATCATGTTGAGCAACAGGCTGCTGAAGGTTGCCCACTGTGGTGGATTTGATCTTCTCAGCTCTGTTGTGCAAGAGTCTGTCCAGCACCTGGACACACGAGCAGCTCCGTAAACAGGAGCACTGAGACTTCTCTGTAGTAGCTGCTCAATGTAAAGACTTAGAGACTCAAAGACATGTCTTCTGGTATCAAAGCCGTTATAAATGATGATGAACCTCCATTAAATCAGGAATCTGCAACTTTCATCAAAATACACAAAGAATCATTTTTGTCTCTTTCCTCTTTATGATGATATTGATATATGATATTATTATTATGGAGGGATGAAGCTGACATTATAATAAATAAATGAATCAATATATAAGTGAATCAATAAAACAATAAGACATGAAAATGAGAAATGTATACATAAAAGCCTCAATTATTGAATAAATGTGCAGGTTAATTAAAACATAGATAAATATAATAAAATATTAATTTATTTGAATAAATAAAGAAATAGAAAAATATGAATGAAAGCAAAAAAGTACTTCTATGCACCTTTAGTTTATGTTCATATTAACCTGCACATTTACATTATTTGATGAATCTGTCTTTTATTTCTAATTTTCTGTCTTGTTTATTATTTTAAAGAGATGATTGTGTGGCTTTGGCTCAGGAGGATGTATGTATTGATTGAGTCATTCATTCATTAACTCATTATGATGCAGCTTTAATCCTCAGAGGACCCCGAGTGAACAAATCACACTATCTGTCTAACAGCTGACTAATGGATACATGTAGATAGCTTTGTGTTAACTTGTCTTTATGGTTGTGGTGATCTCATCATTGATTGTGTGGTAGAAGGATGAGGTCATCCTACTCAGTCCTGAACATATGTTGACCCGTTCTTTAATCCATCCACTTCCACAAAAGGCTTGACACAAAAAGAGACACAACAACAAATATATTTCTGTTACTGGACACGTGGTTTAAACATTTTAAATCAAACTAAGAGTTTATGTCTGCTTGAGGGGCAGATTGGAGTCAAAAGAAACGGCTTTTCTTACACCATCAAACTGTTTGTATGCAGCAAGTACACACTCATACACGACATTCACACATTTCATTTAACACATTGTGAAGTTTGAGTGTTAACAGTGAGCGAGCTTTGTGTCTGTGCACACCCTGATTTAAATCACATCCCCAGATGACTCCGTTATGTAACCAGACGATCCTGATAAGAAGTCCAAACACATGTTGCTCAACGATTAAACAGTCTTTTTATTTTCCATTCTGCTGCTCTAACAGCTGTCCTGCACATAAAAAAGACCCGAAGTCACATAGCTGCCCTGCTTCACTCCTGCTCAGAAAAGAGCTTTGGCTTTACTTCAGCCTCGTACTGCACACGTTGTGGTGTATTTATCTCATTTATAAAAGCTTCTCTGTTTGCTCTTCTTCTTGTGATGTCCTGGAAGCTCTTTAAATATATAGTAGACCTTATTGTCAAGTGTTGTCTTTCAGTTCGCTCTCAACATTTGCCCTCCAGACCTTTATTTCATATCAGGCTGTTCTGTGCTGGCTTCTTTTTAGGGGTTTTTTTTGGGCCTGTGGAAACTCGCCTGAACTTTGCATAATTAAAAAGCCACGACGGAAAAAATCCTCTAAAGCAATTTCATATCGCAGTAAATGTAGAAGTGTCTCCGTTCTTCTGACTTCTCGTTTGAGGACGTGAGGATTTGAGGACGCTCTATTTTGGTTGGTCCCTGAGCTGCAGATCCCTTCAGGTTGTTCTGTGTGTATTTCACAAGTAGAACTTTGTTCTTCAAACCCACTTATTCAGCCTCTCACCAGTGTTTTCTTCGAATATAATTATAATTATTTTCATTATGTTACCAAGCATTTTTGGTCTTTTAAAATAAATAAACACGACACTAACACTTCACATCAATCATGTGAATTGATGTGATTGATTATTCCATTAATAGGCTCAAAGTAGGCCTGTTTCTGCACCCTCGGTCTTCTCACACAACCTCATGTCTATGCTGCTGCAACATGTTGCACATTGAGCCCTGAGGAGGAGCTCGTCTCCCAGCACCACGTAGATCTATTTACAGAGAACCTCTGGGGACGCTTTAGGCTACGAGGAGCCGTCCTCGTGGAGCTCTGCAGCAGTTTGCAGCCAGAAATTTACCAGGAAAATGTGATTTGTTTGTCGTTATGAGAACAAAGGTGTGAACAATTCTGCGGGTTAAGAACACGTCGTGAATCTTAAGATCTTTCTCAAGAACAAATGTAAGAAACAAGTTTGGAACATGTTGGTGAACGAGGCTGTTAGAGTCGCTGTGATCGGACACATCGTCACCTAATGACCTACAACAGGACACGAGTCAGCATTTCTACACTTCCGGTCCCGTAGTCTGAAAGTCAAAGTGTTTTATGAATCTGTTTGTGTTCAGATGTCTGAAATCAGGTCTGTTCAACACAAGGTTAAGAGATTTAAACGATTTGTTCTACGATTCCCCCCTCTGGGGAATTTAGACGCTTTTACGTGTCTTAAAGAGTCTAAATGAGACGACTAAACGTCCTCGCTAGAGCCTCCTCGCTAGAACGTCTTCGCTAGAGCCTCCTCACTAGACCCTCCTCGCTGCTCACTAGAGCCTCCTCACTAGAGCCTCCTCGCTGCTCACTAGAGCCTCCTCGCTAGAGCCTCCTCGCTAGAGCCTCCTCGCTGCTCACTAGAGCCTCCTCGCTAGAGCCTCCTCGCTGCTCACTAGAGCCTGCTTGCTAGAGCCTCCTCGCTAGAGCCTCCTCGCTGCTCACTAGAGCCTCCTCGCTAGAGCCTCCTCGCTGCTCACTAGAGCGTCCTCGCTGCTCACTAGAGCGTCCTCACTAGAGCCTCCTCGCTGCTTACTAGAGCCTCCTCGCTAGAGCCTCCTCACTAGAGCCTCCTCTCTACTCACTAGAGCGTCCTCGCTAGAGCCTCCTCACTAGAGCCTCCTCTCTACTCGCTAGAGCGTCCTCACTAGAGCCTCCTCGCTGCTCACTAGAGCCTCTCTAGAGTCTCCTCGCTAGAGCCTCCTCGCTAGAGCCTCCTCTCTACTCGCTAGAGCCTCCTCGCTAGAGCCTCCTCTCTACTCGCTAGAGCCTCCTCGCTAGAGCCTCCTCRCTAGAGCCTCCTCTCTACTCRCTAGAGCSTCCTCGCTAGAGCCTCCTCKCTGCTCACTAGAGCGTCCTCACTAGAGCCTCCTCGCTGCTCACTAGAGCCTCTCTAGAGTCTCCTCGCTAGAGCCTCCTCACTAGAGCCTCCTCTCTACTCACTAGAGCGTCCTCGCTAGAGCCTCCTCTCTACTCGCTAGAGCCTCCTTGCTAGAGCCTCCTCTCTACTCGCTAGAGCCTCCTCGCTAGAGCCTCCTCGCTGCTCGCTAGAGCCTCCTCACTAGTAATCTCTTTTAAATCACTTCTTAAAACACATTTTTACAGACTGGCTTTTATGTGATGTCGTCGCTTTTCTGTTTTATTTCTGTTTTATTTTATTTGTTGATTTTACTGAATTATTTTACTAAATTTACTTTATTTTGTTTATGTCTTAGTTTATTTGTATCGTTTCGACCGTCTCACTGAGCTTTCTGTTATTGTTATTATTGCCTTTGCTTTTTAACTTAAACTTTTTACTCTTCTGCTGATTGTATTCACGCTTCATGAATCATAACAGTGGAGTTAATTTGTGGAGATTAACGTGCTGAACAACACCTGTAAGTGTCTTCGATGTTCATTTAACTTTTGTCGAGGGAACCAGTGTGATGCTGACTTGCTGTTGGACTACAACGCTACATAATCCCTGCAGCGCTGTAAAGCATCGGTTCACGTGGACATGGTCCCCCCCCCCACCACTGTGTAGCTCAGACCTCGTCAGTTGGGTTTCGTCAAGCGAAGATATTCCCAAATCACTGAGACGGCTCTACGTCAGAGGGTTAGTGTTTGTAAGCACTCTCAGACATCTTTGTGGTGCATATTGTTCAGTCACAGCGGAGCTTGACGGACACATTTTAATCTTGACTCTTCATGTCGGGGTTAATAGTTTCTCCTGAAATGGAAAACAAAGCATCCGTTGTTTCAGAATGCTCAGCGTCACAGACCTACATGTCTACATGTGCGCTGTTGACATTCCTCAGTAGAGGATGGACTTCATGGTATTTCCTAAATAATGCAGGAGGACAGAGTGCAGCGCAGAGAGGAGGTCGCTGATGTTAAAGGCTTTCCTCCAGTTACCACCCAGCTGTGTAAACACATCCAATCAGAGAGAGAGAGAGAGAGAGAGAGAGAGAGAGAGAGAGAGACTCACAGACGTGAACCACGAAACCACTAAACATCCCAGTCTGATCTCATGACTGAGACCTCAGAGCCTCTGACCGCTGGATCCTCTCAGAGAATCACATTGTGCTGCTCGACTGCGTCTCTATTGAATGAACGTATTGTTGAGCGTGTGCTGATGTAGTCTGTATGAGTCTCTATGAGTCTGTATCAGGCCCACACTCAGCATACGGTGTGAGAGACTCCACCAGACTGCCCAGCACACTGAGGGGCTTTCATGAGGCCGGGAACACAGACCAGGGCGGCCGGCTTCACAGAGATCCTTTCTGGGTGAGAGTGTATAGATGTCTGTTAACACACTGAGCACGACGAACACGTCGTTGGTTCCTCCTCACAAAGGAGCAGCATCTTGACCTTCAGTCTTTATTATACAGCATTCAGGATTCTCTCTTTATACAGACTGGCTTTTATGTGATGTCGCTTTCCTGTTTTATTTCTAGTTTGTTTTTACTAAATTATTTTATTTATTTATTTTATTTTTCTATTTTTATTTGTTTTTTTGCTAAATTATTTCACTACCTTTTTTTTTATTACATTTTTTTTATGTCTTAGTTTATTTTTATGGCATCGACTGTCTCACTGAGCTTTCTGTTATTGTTATTATTCTCGCTTTTGCTGCTTTGTCTGTCAAAGCACTTTGTAAACTCTGTTTTTAAAGGGGCTGTATAAATAGTTATTATTATTATTCCAATAATCAATCTTGCTGTTACTGTTCTTGGCTGAGTAAGAAATGTAAAGATGGTTAGTCACATTCACATTTTACTCTCTGTGGTCTTGTTGTAGTGAAGTTCTGCACCTCTAGAGACAAAACAATGAGTAGAAGTAGAGAACTCACAAATGTGTTTTGCTCTTGAGGAAAACTTAAGGCGCACCAGACTGAGTGTTTGTTTTTTTGCAGCTTGCTGCATTTAAAAAAAAAAAAAATTAATTCTACGTGAGCACAAACCATGAACTACACTACCCACAGTCTCTCTATATCTATCTATCTATCTATATCTATCTATCTATCTATATCTATCTATCTATATCTATCTATCTATCTATATCTATATCTATCTATCTATATCTATCTATATCTATATCTATCTATCTATATCTATCTATCTATCTATCCATCTATCCAGCCAGCCAGCCATATATATATCTAGCTATATATATATCTAGCTATATATATATCTATATAAATAAAATAAAAATAAAAACACAACCTTTTATTAAGGGCCCACAAGTGTTAAAAATTTGAGGAAAACAGGAAACTGAGGCTGCACATATTGAACTGTTCACATCTGTACAACCTCTGCTCTGTTCAGCAGTTCAAACATGTGACTGTTGGTCTCAGGTGAATCAGTCACTGCTCAGAGTTTAATGTTCTTTACAGGATCTGGTGAAAGCAAACGGTTTATTTTTGGCTGAATTTTAAATGAGAAATGTAATAAAATGATTTTGATGGAATATCACGATTTTAAGCTTTGATTTGGTTGCTTTTCTTCTGAAGGAAGCGTTTGTCGCATATGATCCGTTCAGGGACCGACGATCATGTCTGATAATATCAATCCGTCTCTGATAAATGCCTTTTGAAAAGGAAACGTGCTTTTTAAACCCTCCGGCAGAATTAGAAACACATTAACGTCCTGATGTGATGACTGATGTTCTGTTCTGTGACTCTGCAGCCAACAAGCATCGGAGCCTGTACGGAAGCCCCTACAATCAGCAGAGCTATGGAAGCCCGTACAGCACAAACGCAGCCAACAGCCCGTACAGCAGTGGCTTCAACTCCCCCTCCTCCACCCCCAGCAAAGTGCCCATCGTCAGGCAGCAACTCATGCCCGGGAACGCAGGTACGCAGCTCTCTATGGTCCGCTAACAACGGCAGCACATCGGATGATGTCACTAAAGAGTTCACAGATGAATTATTTCTCACCAGCACACCAGCGGAACACGGCGGCAGAGAGGAATCCTCCGGCGGTGAGCCCGCAGTCCTCCGTGGACAGCGAGCTGAGCACCTCGGAGATGGACGAGGACTCGGTGGGCTCCTCCAACACCTACAAACTCAACGACGTCACTGATGTCCAGATCCTGGCCCGCATGCAGGAAGAGAGTATGTACCTGTAGCCGTGGGGGAGGGGTACCATCAGGATGTTATCGGTACTAGTACTCTGATCCATACTGATACTGTGATCAAACTCCGTATGACGTCACTACCGTATGACATCACTAACGTATGACATCACTACCGTTACCTGGCGGCTGCTCCACAGACAGACTGATGTTCTGCTTGTTGGTCACATGTTGTGATGAACTTACTTGTGAGGGTTTTATTGTGTTTGAGACGACCAGAGTTCTACAATGTGTCCTTCTCTCTGATCATGATGAGTCTCACGCTGTGCTGAGAGGAGACAGAGACACAGGGAGACAAAGACACAGGGAGACACAGGGAGACAAAGACACAGAGACAGAGAGACACAGGGAGACAAAGACACAGAGACAGAGAGACACAGGGAGACAAAGACACAGGGAGACACAGAGACAGAGAGAGGACGTTTGAGGCGAGGACGTCTCACTCAGGAACAAACAAAGTACCGATAACTCCGGACCGCATCAATACTGCTGGTTTTTACTGATGTAGAACCAGGTTTCTGTGGGCATCGCTCTGTAGCAGCGTCCTCCTCAGTGGTGTTGTTCTGTGACCCAGCAGCTTGTTTTCTAGTGATGTAACTGTGATCGTGTCCGTGTCTCTCAGGTTTGAGACAAGATTACGCCGCCACAGCGTCCAGGAGGAGCTCCGGGTCGTCTTGCCACTCTCTGCGACGCAGCACCTTCAGCGACCAGGAGCTGGACGCCCACAGCCTGGAGGACGAGGAGGAGGCGGTGCTGCACCCGGCCTTCCACCTGCCCTCCAGCCGCTTCAGCCCCTCCCCGAGGAACTCGCCCCGCGCCTCCCCGAGGAACTCGCCCCGCTCCCGCTCGCCGGCCCGCTCCATCGACTACAGCCGCAGCTCGCCTCAGCCCGTCATCAGCCGCCTGCAGCAGCCTCGCCACTCGCTGCAGGGCCACGGGCACGACCTGCAGACCAACGTGGTGAAGAACGAAGGTGAGCGGAGACCGAGGACGACGACGACAATGTGGGATTTCTGCTCGTTTTGCTTAATCTCTACTGTTGTTGTTTGCTGTTGCAGAAAAACTGCGTCGCAGTCTTCCCAACCTCACACGAGCCTCGGCGGCGGCGGTCCAGAACCCCGAACCCGTTAAGAACAGCCGCAGCTGTGAGTCCAACCTGCAAGTGCCAAACGGAGGCTCTCCTCGACACCAGAATCAGTCGGCGAGTGAGTACTGAGACACTGAATCATTTCACTGCAGAAAACACAGAAACCCTCTAAAGTTGTAAGTGAATGTTTCCATCAGTTCTACCAGACGCCTTGTTGACGTCACAGTGTGGTCAGCTGACATATTGATATTTGTTTTGCTCTCCGACTACACTGAGCGTTCAGGAGCAACCGGCTGTGTAATCCCTCGTTAGTCGTCCTTGACTGTGCTGCTTTCACGTGTCTGGGAATCCTCTTTGTCTTTGATCTTTCTCAGATGTAATATCTCTTTATTCCTCTCTATCCGCCTCGGCATAACTTTTCACTTCAAAGCGACACGCTCGTCCTGCAGAATTAGAGCACTGCGACCGACCTGCTGTCACTGAACATTGTTTAACGTTCGGTGTCCTAAAGGTTTAATGTTCTTTAAGAGCTTTAAGAGTCTCACCTCTGATGTGATCCTGTAATGGGGGATAAAGATAATGGTGTTGTCCTTAATCCAGAGACGGTAATCCCTCTCTTACTAGAGACACGAGAGCACAGGGGTCAAAGGGCAGGTTTCGTGTCTTTATCTTTGTCAACCGGACCTCTGAGCGTTCATGCGCTCTTTAAACATTACAGCAGATACTTTGTTTCTGCTGAATCTGTAGAGATTCTACGAGCTCTGCTGTCCTCTTCTATCTTTGAGCTTTGGCTGATCTGGGCATGTGAGACTCCAACACTTCTGCCTCTCTCACTGACTTCTCTAAAGCATGAGTAGCACAACCAGCCTCCGTTTCTCTGCTGGATTGGCTGATGAACTGTTGGCTCTCTGCCCTCCTCCCTGAACCTGCTGCTCCTCTGGATGTTTGGCTGTGGAGCCCCCTAGTGGCCTCAAACCAGCACCTCCAGCCCCCTTCTCCTCCTCCTCTTCCTCCAGTAACTTGGTGAAGTCTGACGTCCCGTGATGAAATGTCCCTGTGTTCTCAGCAGCAGCAGCAGCTCAACTCCCGAGATACTCGAGCCCCTCTCGCTCCTCCCCGAAACCCAAACAGCACCTCCAGAGCCCGACCGCCCTGCGAGGTAACGGCCTGATCTCAGACCAGCTGCAGGCCGTGAGATCCATCTCGCACTCAGTCAGCCGCCTGTGCTCTGTGGAGGGTTAGAACACTGGTTCACAGGGGGTTTGCGAGGCCTTCTTGAGCTTTCATTTAAAATACACCGTTAGCCTGTATTTCAGACACGCTGAAGGTAAATTCACAGAGCGAACCTCTGATGAGCAGCTTTGTCCTGCATTAGAAAAGTACGCAGTTCAAATAAGTAAAGAGCTGTTAGAACAATGTCCACGCGTCAGGGAGAAGAAAACACTGAGTCTGTCAAAAAAAGATGGTTTAAAATAACAAAAGATACAAAATACAGAGAATATATATTCAAATAATCTCAAGACATTGATCGCTTGTTTTACACAAACTTCCTGCAGTTATTACGTCATTATTTGTGTTAATTATCAGTTGTTCTGTACTGTTGTTGTCGTGCATTAACTATAATATTAAATAGCATAAGTTATTGAGTCACTGATAGAAAAGGACAGAGGTTGGGATCCACTGGAGCAGAGCGCTGGTGCTCATGGAGAGTCGATGATGAAGTGACGGTTCTATAGAGCTGACGTGGATCAGACTGTGAGGAGTCTCTGAGTTCAGGTTTCTCTGTTTTTGTTGCTTTCTTTGTGAGATAAAAGGTGGAGCCGGGTGTTCATCAGAGAGGAGCTTTATAGTTAATAGATTTAAATATTCACGTGAGGATTGTGTCGACGTGGTTCTGTCCCGAATGTGTGACGTCCGTCCGTCCGTCCGGTCCATCGAACACGATATCTCAGGATCACTTTGAGGGAATTCCTTCAAATTTGGCACAAACGTCCTCGTGGACTCGAGGAAGAACTCTTCAGGTTTTTGTGGTCAAAGGTCACCGTGACTTTACGTCGGTCACATTCTGTCGACAGTGAAATCTCAGGAACGACTTGAAGGAAGTTCATCTGGCACAAAACCCATTTTTGGCCATAACTCAACAATTCATATGCTAATTGTATGCTAATGTGATTATATGATGACTTTTTGGACAGACATGGACGTAAACTGACTGGTTGGTGGAAACGTATCATTCTTTAAGTGTTTATTTCCCTATTTATCTAAATACAGAAATACATTTTAATTTCTTTCATTTTCACCATTATTTGATAGTTGAGGCTTTAGTTTCTTTCAGTTTTAGTGACTTATTGATTGTTGTGGCGGCTCTAGTCCTCCGTGGTCCCGGGTCAGTACAGGCGGCTCACTGACGCTCTGCATTAAGTCTCTGTTGTCTTCGTCCTGTCTAGTCCCGCTCTCCTGTTGCTTTGGAGAAGAAGGTGATTTCAGTGAGTATTCACTGAGCGGCTCTTCTACATCTTGTGGTTGTGTCTCCTCGCCGTGGTTGCATTGATGTCGTGTTATATTTCGTGCTTCTGGTTCTAGTTGATGCAGTGTGTGTGTGTGTGTGTGTGTGTGTGTGTGTGTGTGTGTGTGTCCTCATTCTGTCAAGTTTATTTAGTCGATTCTAAACTTGCATCGTTTGATATCATTTGAGATGACCTACGTATGTTTCTGTTTAAATAGATGTTCTGTTTGTTCTGTGCATCGTATTATTATTATTATTATTATTATCTCACACTGTTGTGATCATTCATTGTTTAAAATATTAAAACCTATAAAAAGCTTAAAGCTCTCTAACATAACGTCCGTGTCTCCAGTCCCGTCTCCCAGTAAGCTGCGAACTCCGGTCACCCCGTCCCCGCTGGCCTTGAGGCAGCCGGTGAAGGCCACGTCTAACCCTGGCTCGGCCACCTCCTCCTCCACCTCCACCCCCACCCGCTCCCTGGCCCCCCCACGCAGCGGCCTCCCCCGTCCCAGTGCTTCTGCGGGAGGGGGGGGCATCCCTCTGCCTCGCAGCAAACTGGCCCAACCTGTGCGCAGGTATGTACGCCGACACACCACAACACTTCTGTAAGCGAACCAAACGTCTTTAACCCGTCACATGTTTTCAAGGTGAGGGATGTGCTTCGTGTGAAACACTAACGGACGTCTCCACCTCCTCCTCAGGTCTCTTCCTGCTCCTCGGTCCTACAGCGGTGCCGGAGAAAACTGGAGAGAAGGTTGTTACTGAACCGGGGCCAGCAGGGGGCGCTCCAATCAAAGCATCAACCGCAGGAGGAAGACATTACAACATGATGGCACTTTATCTACCCAGATACCTTTTTACAGTGACGAGAGAGAGAGACTGTCCCACAAATATATATATATATAATCAGAATTTTTTAAATACAAAGTAGAGGAGTGTCCGCATGGCGTCAAAGAGGACCTCCCATCGCGTCCCTCTGGCTCTGGAGGGGTCCAGCATGTAGAGCAGAGAGCCCAGAAGAATGCCAAAGAAACCAGCTCGGCTCCAGCAGAGGACACGCCTCCTGCCTTTTGGTTCTGCATCACTTCATCAGAGGACACGCCTCCTGCCTTTTGGTTCTGCATCACTTCATCAGAGGACACGCCTCCCGCCTTTTGGTTCTTCATCGCTTCATCAGAGGACACGCCTCCCGCCTTTTGGTTCTTCATTGCTTCATCAGAGGACACGCCTCCTGCCTTTTGGTTCTTCATTGCTTCATCAGAGGACACGCCTCCCGCCTTTTGGTTCATCGCTTCATCAGAGGACACGCCTCCCGCCTTTTGGCTCTGCATCACTTCATCAGAGGACACGCCTCCCGCCTTTTGGCTCTGCATCACTTCATCAGAGGACACGCCTCCCGCCTTTTGGCTCTGCATCGCTTCATCAGAGGACACGCCTCCTGCCTTTTGGTTCTTCATCACTTCACCACCTCATCTTCCTCTCGCTCCTCTTCTTATTTCACCTCCCTCAGGTCGAAATGTCTCCACACATTTCTCTCTTATTCTCTGTGTTCAACAGATGTCAGTGAGCGATCTCTATGATGATGATGATGATGATGATGATGATGATGATGTAAATGTTAGGGAGAATGGTGGATGTCTTGGAACAGTGAAAGCACCTCTTTGTGTGAGTAGTCAGAATGTATGCACAAAGTTTTTTTTGGGAAAAGAAATATTTATTCAAATTATTTAAGAAATGTGTCTAAACATCCTTATCAGTATTTTTTAGTTTTGAAGATTTCAATTGTTAAAGAAAGAAAGAAATGTACGTTTTAAACGTCGACTGCAAGCTAACTCTCCAAAGCGTTGTGTTGTTCTTACGTGGTGATAAACGACGACTCGGCTCAGACGTCACCACAGTTTGACAAGATTTAACTTTCTCCACTGAACGGAGTTCGGTCGGTTGAAAAACAGCTTGAAATGAGCTCAAAGCATATTTAATCTCTGCTCCCCCATTCGGCAAGTTAAACCAAGGAAAGCGATGTTGTGTCCATCATTGATGAAAGTCAGACATCTTGAATACGTTCTGCTGGCTTCAACCTCTTGTGCTCTGAACATGAATGGAAGGTCTGCCGGTGTTCAAACTAGTGCCTATAATTTAAAGATTCACTCCTTTGTTCCTTTAGCATTTTGTGCCAATTTCTGTTTCTTTTGCATTTCTGCTCGATTGATTCGCCTTTTTGTTTGTTTGTTTTGTTTTTTGTAATTGAATCAATGCATTTATAATTGCTTTAAAAAAAAGAAATGTTCAGAAATGCGCCTTCATATTTATATCAAATAAGTCATTGTGTAAATGAAACTATTTATTAAAGAGAGGCGCCTCGGTCAAAGCTCAGATTCAGCGGGGAAGCTCGAAACGAATGTTGCAAAAAAGACAAATGCACACCTTTTGTGTGAACAGTTTTTGTTATTGAACCTTTTTTTTTTATATCCACAACCATGACATTCAGTTCCTCGTGTAAAGTCACATTTCAAATAAAAGATGAAATGTTATCCTCTTGTTTTGCACATTTTTTTAGATCCTCTGAATGAAACAGAAAAACAAAGGTTTGTATTGTTGTGAGACAGCAGCAGCCGTACGTACATACATCCATTAATAAAACGATCTCATCAAAGCTGTTGATCCTGATTTTATTGTTCATCGGGTTTAAAATCTGATGGTCTGTTATATTTCTGTTACTAGAAAGACGACGTTCTGCAGGTGTGACACTTCACTTCTACGTCAGTAGAAAGTATTTTACTCCTTCAGTCTGAGTTTTCATGAACGATACAAACAGAAGCCCGACTGGTCACTCGGAGACGTCGTCAGAGACGTCGTCTGTGTCGTGAACATTAAAAAACTGATTTATTTATCTGTAGCTGTTTGCTCTCTAATATGAACATCTGAGACCTCAGGCTCCCTCCAACGATGCTCATTAAATATGTATGAAGAGAAAACTACGTTTAATAAAATGAATTAAGATTTATGAGTTCAATTAAATAATAAATTGATATAGATTTGTGGTAAACAGTATTTCAAATGAGTGAACAGGAATAAAGTAAATGTATAAACATACAAAAATATAGATATATAAGAGATGTAAATATATATATATAAACATATCTAAATATATATTCGGAAAAAGAATTGTAAATATATGTATATGTATATATATATATGTATATATATGTGTGTGTATATATATATATACATATATATATAATGTATATATATAATGTATATATATATATGTGTATATATATATATGTGTATATATATATATGTGTATATATATATATGT